TCTTCAAGTACACCTTCAGCACCTTTCCCTCTCTCTTCCTCCTCCTCTTCCGTGGGCCTCTCATCTGTGCTTGGCTCCAGAGACTCCGTTCTGCTAGTCTTCTGGTGGTTTTCTGGGTTATTTAGGCAGGTGTAGGTGGAATCTAAGTGATCAGCAGGACGCGCGGTGAACCCAGCATCCTCCTACACTGCCATCTTCCCAGGATCCCATATGAATTGTGTTCTTAAGGACTTTTAAGTAGAGAGGAATGGTATGGACAGAGAAAAAAATGAAATCATAGGTTGGAGATATTCTAAATTTCAACATTAGAATGGTCTGCCTTACAAACTAGTGATGTCCCTGTTACTATGAGTATTCAAGAAAAGATGTGATCAAAAGAGCCTATCTGGAAGGTGCAAGAGATTCCTGCCTTATGTTCTTTTTTTTTTTTTTTTTTTTTTTTTTTTTTTTTTTTAATTTTTTTTTCAACATTTATTTTTATTTTTGGGACAGAGAGAGACAGAGCATGAACGGGGGAGAGGCAGAGAGAGAGGGAGACACAGAATCGGAAACAGGCTCCAGGCTCTGAGCCATCAGCCCAGAGCCTGACGCGGGGCTCAAACTCACGGACCGCGAGATCGTGACCTGGCTGAAGTCAGACGCTTAACCGACTGCGCCACCCAGGCGCCCTGTCCTGCCTTATGTTCTGAGTGGACTCAATCACTTCTACCTCAAGGACTCCAGGACCTGATGAAATCTATAAGTTAGAACAATGTAGATCTTTGCTCTCAGAAATGTTCTTTCTTTTTTCTTACTTTCTGTGTACTTTTTTCCCATGTGCAGTCTAATAATTCAGAGGCTAGATGATACATTCTTAAGAAATTCTCTAGCCATTGAGGAATATACCATGTAGTTCAAATCATCTCTTTCTGAAAAAGGCCTTCTGATGCCTTTGTTAGTGTCAGGACATGAGACCAGATGAATCATTCAACAATGAGGGGTTTGTTTCCTAAAATGTCCTTATATTTGAGTTGATATCCTTATAATTGAGGGGTAGAAGCAGTCTTTTAAAATAGTTTGTAACAATAATATATAAATTAATATTCACTATTATCACAATGGTAATTGACTAGCCATATATGGCTTTAGAATTTAGAAACTCACTCAATCATTCCTTCATTTATTCAGTAAATAATTAAAGGCAGCTATCCTGGTCTTCACACAGCATGTGTGACAAGAGTTTTTGCCCTCATGGATTTCCCAGGCTGGTGGTTGTTGGGGAGGGGCGTGTGGTGGTGGGGACTGATAGGCACATTGCTGTGTGCAGTCATTACCATGATTGTTTTCAATGATGAAGAACCATTCCACAGAAGAATACCAGGCAGGTCAAGGCACTTCAGGTGGAGAGAAACAAGTGGCTCAGAGGCGTACAATAGTGCATAAATGGAATGTGCCACGTTCAGCGACAGCTTGTAGTTGCTGAGCTGGGGCTTAGTTCATGTGTCAGGAAGAAACAAGTGTGGAGTGGAGGTGGGCCTGGGGGTGCAAATGAGGGTCAATGACAGGCCTGGACTCAGGTCAGAAGGGCTTGATTACAGACTAAGTATTTTTTCTATCTGCAGTACGTAGCCACTGAAGAACTGTATAAAAAGGATTAGGTTTTAGAAAGATTAACTGTCTGTGGGTGGAACTTTGAGGTGAACTGGAAGGAGGAGAAAATGGAGATAGAGACCAATCAGAAAACTACTTCAGTGACCCAGGATGACAACTGTATATTAACATGAATCCAGCTTGAATCTATATTAATTTAATTGTTCCTGGAATCAACATTTATGGAGACAAAACATGATGAATTCCTCAAATAATTGGCAATTCCAAAATTCTAGTCTTCTAAAAACTGTAATATAATAACAAAATAGCTGAAAGTAGATCCTTGTGATGGCTGAACATGGAAGCTCCAGCTCTATCTTTTGGACAGAAAACTAATTAAATATTTACCAGCTCTTCACCTGACATACATTTCACAAACTCGGTGTGGGTTCCCCGCATGGGCTCTGTGCTGTTATTGAGCTAATGAGCTGAGTTCAAATAGGAAACAGGTAGCTTTTCTGGCCACACTGATTACTTACAGAATTTCACTGGAAGCATTTTCCATTGTTAAAGCATTTTTTTCCATTTGCTTTTCCTTTGGTCCCATAATTTGCTTTTCTTCTCCAAAAATTGCTACAGGTTTATGCACAGCAAGCTTGGCTCCAGACACAATGTCACTTTGCACTTCTAAAACAAGAGCTGAGCAGAAACATGCAAATTGCAAGGACATTAGTTATGATCGCAGAACACCAGGAATTTGAAAACACACGTTAAAATAAAAATGCAGACAATTTTCAACTATTTGGCCTAAGAGAACACATTCTAACTGTAATTAATAGTTGCTCTTTAATAAATTGGATTTCACTTAATTTTTGTAGATTCCTTCCTCTCAAGATATTGTCAGTCAAAAGTACTAAAAATAGAGGTTCATATCCAAAATATACAAAGAACTCATAAAATCCAATACCTGAAAAAATCTGATTAAAAAATGGGCAGAGGACCCGAATAGACATTCTTCCAGAGAAGACATACAGATGGCCAACTTACACATGAAAAGATGCTCAGCATCACTAAACATCAGGGAAATGCAAATCAAAACCTCACTGAGATATCAGCTCACATCTGTCAGAATGTCTATTATCAAAAAGACAAAAAAATAACAAATGTTGGCAAAGATGTTGAGAAAAGGCAGCCCTCGTGCACTCTTGGTGGGGATGTACTTTTGGGGCACCCACTATGGAAAACAGTATGGAGGTTCCTCTGTTAAAAACAGAACTACTGTATGGTCTAGCAATTCCACTTCTAGGTATTTATCCAAAGAAAATGAAAACACTAATTTGAAAAGACATATGTACCCCTATGTAGATCATAGCAGTATTTACAATAGCCAAGATATGGAAACAATCTAAATGTCCATGGGAAGATGAATGGATAAAAAGTGCATGTGCGTACACACACTATGGAATATTATGCAGCCATAGAAAATGAGATCTTGCCATTTGCATCAACATGGATGTACCTCCAGAGTATAATGCTACATAAAATAAGGCAGAGAGAGAAAGACATGTGTAGAATCTAAAAAATAAACAAAGCAAAACTGAAACAGACTCACAGATACAGACAACAAACTGATAATTGTCAGAAGGGTAGAAGGGTGGATGAAATAGATAAAGGGGGTTAAGAGGTATAATCTTCCAGTTATAAAGAAGACATGGGGATGTAATGTACAGCATAGGGAATATCATCAATAATATTGTAACAACTTTGTATGGTGACAAATGGTAACTAGATTTATTGCAGTGACCATTTCATAATGTATACAAATATCAAATCACTATATTATATACTTGAAACAAATACAACACCATATATCAATTAACTTTCAATTTAAAAAGTGCCTAAGGAAAAAAAAAGTACTAAAAAATAGGTGTTTCCAAAAAAATGTTATTTAGTTATTTAGTTAGTTATTGTAAATTCTAGCCTTTCAAATGGGCATATTATTTACATATATATCTCTAGATCATTCTCTAGGATCCTAAATTCCTCAGTGGAAGTCCCCAAAGCCTTGAAAGCTGCATGCAAAACTTACTGTACAGCATTCAATATATGTAACAGGGAAACGTTTTAAATTATATTAGTGATTTTTCTCTTTTGTCGTTCTATACATAGGACCTTTGTCCTAGTTCCTGGGGTAGCCTTAAGGGAAGGAGGAGGACCATAAGTTGATAAGAAATGTTACAAAAGGAAAGCAAAATACAAAGATAGTGTGACACTCAAGTACAGCATGTTGCCATAAGACAAAGGCCATGTCAATCAGGATGACACTGTCATGATTTAGGTTTTTTCTAAACACTGTTAGCTCCCACTGAGCATATCAAAGCTTTAACATCAAGGTTGACTTGGAGAAAACCTACCATTTCTGGGCCTGAGGGAATTTAAGACAGAAGACAGAGGAAAGCAGAAAAACAGCACTGGGTATCATGATTCCCCCTACAGGCTTCACTTCAGGTATCTACGCTACACCAAGGAAACACTGAGGACACTGTTCATTGTTGAGAACACTGTGATGAGTCACCTCTCAAGTTGCCTTCACCACTCCAATCTGCGGTACAGTTGTATCAACCTGGATCTTGTTTCTGAGGGGTGTGGCCATGACCCAAGATGTGCCGACAGTCATGCTGGGAAGGTTTCCAGAAGTAGTTGCCAAGGAGGGGTGAAGGGGTCTTGTAATAAAGATTTCAGAGATGACCACTCAGACACAGCCAGGCTTCAGAGGGCCAGAGAGAGCAGAAAGGCTGGGTCAGGCAGGAAGCACCTCCCATCCAAAGCATTGTCTGGGCCAAAGGAATGGAACATGGTCACCCAGCCATGAATATCAGCCAGCAAGACCCAGAAAGCAAGACACCCTGTCCCCCAAGTTCTTCCCTTCTATCTGAGAGAGGAACTGAGGGAGACTCTGGGGAATGGGAAATATGAAAGCTCTCCCTAAAGGGACAATTTAAATTAGTTGGATGGGCCAAAATTTAAACCTGATCGGACATTTTATGTTTTCCTTAATGGAAAACAAAGAAGACTAAATTCGTTTTACTTTTCTTTTTTTTTTTTTATTTTGTTAACATTTATTAATTTTTGAGAGACCAACAGAGACAGAGTGTGAGTGGGAGAGGGGCAGAGAGGGAGACACAGAATCCAAAGCAGGCTCCAGGCTCTGAGCTGTCAGCACAGAGCCCAATGTGGGGCTCAAACTCACAAACCAGGAGATCATGACCTGAGCTGAAGTCGGACGCTCAACCAACTGAGTCACCCAGGCACCCCTGGAAGACTGAATTTGTTAAAGATGAAATAAATTACACTTTCTTTGCACATCACTGTGTAGTGTGAATGAAAATATGCAATCCTGTTAAATACATACATTAGTTTAAAGAGCTAAACAGCAGGATATAGGGGTGAAATATGACCTATTTAAACAAGCACGGATTAAAAAAAGGCAGAATCAAGTATTTAATTTTGGCAATATATTTTATGGTAAATAATCCCAATGCTTACCCTCTATCTTATGTATGCTGCAGAAAGTTTGAATTTTAGAAATATCTGATGCTAAGTTCCTCAGGAAGATTTGCTTCTTTTGCTGAGCAACGGACACATCAGGACTGATCCAATGTTCTCCACATGAAACATATACCTAGCAAAGAAATGAGTCTCTAATCCCATGTACAACTCTTCACAGCAGGATTATTTGTAATCGCCCAAATCAGCCCAAAGTACAAACACAATGTCCTATAATCGGCAAATGGTTAAGCAAACTGTGACACCACTGACAAATACTCAGTGATAAAAAGGCAAAACTATTGATAAACCTAACAACTTTGAAAGATCTCAAGGGTTTTATACTAAGGAAAAAAAAAGTACTTCTCCATACTATCTTTGCAACTTCCTGTAACTCTGTAATTTTTCAAAATAAAGTTATATAAATAATTTGTTAAAGGAAGGAAGGAAAGAAGAAAGAAAGGAAAGGAGGGACACAGGGAGGGAGGGAGAGATCAGGGGTTTGTAAACTAGGGCTGAGGCCCAAATCTGGCCTGCTGTCTGTTTTTGTAAATAGAGTTTTATTAGAACACAGTTAGGCCCAGATAGGCCCATTCGTGTACATGCTGTGACTGCTTTTGTGCATACAGTGCAAGAGGTGATGTTTCGATAGAGACCATATGGTTTGTAAATATTTATAAACTAACCTTTTACAGAAAAACTTTGACAATGACTGACTGGTATGGATGAACCTGTCATATGTTAATGTGGTTATTTCTAGATGCTCAGATTACAGATCATACCTGTTCTTCATGTTGCTTCTATGTCTGTCCTAAATGAATTCATATTTCTTTGAAGTAAGAAAAAACAGGGTGATATATGCAGAACATTCAGTTAAGAAGAAAAATGACACTCAGTGCTGCCACTTCCATGGTCCCACACTGGTGATTATACACATTCTCTGCATGACGACCCAGGGACAACTTTCTCGAAGACTTCTTTTTGAACAACAGCCTTCCTTTTCTCCTCTGTACACACTTGATCATGTAACTGTTGACGTTTCCATCTCTATGTTGGCTGCTCAGTGACAGGTTTGTTTCTAGCAAATATACAGGATCTTATAACAGTCACTCCCAACTTCATCCTACCTCCCTTCACCTCAGGGCCTCAGAGACTTTTCCTTCCCTTCCCTTTACCTTTTTGTATCATGTGGTCTAATGCAATCCACCTAATTCTTTCTGCAATAACACAATGAATAAACACAGCAGCAAAGGAGAGGAAAACCAACAAACTAAAACCTTGGAAGTGAGAGAAGTGGAATTCAAAAGAGATCTATCTACCAGACTCCAAGGACACGGACTTTCCCCTCTGTCATGCTGCTTCTGATATTGGTCACTGGTACTTCAGTTTAAGACTCCCTCAAGGGGTGGCGGAGGGGGAGGGGGTGACACTTGGGTGGCTCAGTCGGTTAAGTGGCTCAAGTCATGAGCTCTAGTTTCATTTCGTGAGTTGGAGCCTGGCATTGGGCTTCCTGCTGTCAGTGCAGAGCCTGCTTTGGATCCTCTGTCCCCAACTCTCTCAGCCCCTCCCTTCCCCCCACTCTGTCTCTCTCAAAAATAAATAAACATAAAAAAAAAAAAAGATTCTCTCAAGAGGTCTTTGCATTCAGAGCCTGAGTTAACTTCTGATAATATGGTGTGAGCTTGGTTCTCTGCTCAAAGAATTTCAGGCATCAGTCAGGCAGGTTTTCTTTTCGAACTGATACCTCAACTCCCATCCCATAACAGTGGGCTGCTAAAGTCCTTCTTCTTAGCCTTCTCCAGCCATCCAAATAGGGCATGTGAAACACTAGATACAATTTTTTTCTGAAAAAGTGAAATTATCACTTAGTAAGAAATCACTAAACAACTACATTTGGAAGGCCTCAAAAAGAGGAGAGGATCTCCTTCAGAGTAGAAGACAGAAATTGCAAGTGGTTAATAATCTGGTCTTCTCCCCGCATCCACCTTCATTTATAAAATGGGTGGTGAGGGCATCCACCCCACAGGGCTGTGATGGGCATTAAATGAGCTCATTTTCAGAAAGCCCTGAGGATAATGCCTAATGGTAAGCTCTCAACAGCTAGTGATCAGTGTTACTTTGTGAGGGTTGCTGGGTGAGGACAATTCTGAGAGGAAAATAAGGGGGGAAGTGGTAAATGTCTGAAGTTTTACATTTTGAAACATTTGTCTTTTAGTTGTATGTGTAGAGTAACATTTCCAGTTTCACATTCATGTCCTTACCAATTCGTCCCTTCGGAGGTCTTTTAGGGCAAAGATTTCCTTTCCCTTTTCATTGAACAATCTCCGAGCTGCAGAGGGTAAATTTAAAATTTCGGTGCACCTGTAGTAAGAGACACAAAAATTCATCTTGTATACAGAAGGCTTCCGGCAAAGAAGAGAGAAAATGTGAGAAATCAAGTCTTTAACAACTACTCGTGCTGCAGACCTGTGAGACAGTCAAGAGGTAGGCGCTGCAGCCCATCAGGCTCTTGGAGTCTCATTCTCCTTATACAAGCTGGGGGACTCAGGCAAATTATTTAACCTCTCTAAGCCTACATTTCTTATCTTCCAGGGTTTTAGTGAAGATTAAGGGTTGATTTTGAGAAGTGCTTAGCACACTGCTGGGCACGATCAACAAATAAGCAGGCATATTATTCCTGATTCTCCATTCTTCAATATGCCCCTATACTTTCTATCTGTGTCTTTGTTTCTCTCATGCTCTTCCTTCTACCTAAAACACTTTCCTTGCTTTCTCTACTGAAGTTATATTCTTTCCCCAGAGTCATATCCATCACCAAGCAGTTCCTCATCTCCCTCCATTAGAAGTGATCTCTATAGCCCTTTAACGCCCTTTCAAATAGGGACTTTTAGCCTGCTTAAACATTAAAACAGTGATTTCCACCTCCTAGGCCCCAAACAAGCATTTGACCTGCCCTATGGCTGTCAAAATGAATGCATGTTTTCCCGTTTCCTGAGGAGCTCCCTATCTAGTCAGGGGAGAGACAGGTCAGCAACTGAAGTATAATACAAAGGGCTGGGTGCTGTCACAGGCACCTGGCCAGGGTGTTGTGAGAACCCAGGAAAAACAACACAATGAATTCCTCCAGGGAACCTGTATCTAAGGAAGTGACCTTTGGGTTGGTCTTTGACAGGTGAATAGGAGTTTGTCAAGAAGGGTTAGGACTTTGAGAAGTTTCGTATGGCTGGACTTGAGTGTATAGGGAGGAGCAGGAGCCAGATGAAGCTAGAAAAGAAGACAGGAACACACGGAAAGCACTTAAGATACCAGACTAATTAATTTGTACTCTATCCCACGAACAGCAGGAAGTCATTCAGATAAGAGAAAAGAAATGTGGTGTTATCAGATCTGCTTTTTAGAAAGTTAACTGTCAGAAAGGTGGAAGATGGACTGAAGGCACGAGAGGCTGGAAATTACCCAGCCAGTTCAGGATAGCTGCAAGGAGGCGGAATTGTGGGAAGAGGAGGGAGAGTTTAAGGAATATGATGCGGCTATTGAGAAAACTGTTGAGGTGATCCTGCCTTTGCGACAATTAAGTATAAAAGATTCTTGCTACATATATTTTATATTAGAATGCACTATCTATATTAAGTGAATTAGAAGTGACTTTGTGCTCATCAGGAAGGCTGAGCTGTATGAAGAATATTTCTCAATTTTATATCCTCAGATGGGATAAAGCAATTGAGCAGATAATTAGGCACTCCATTTCTCTGAGAGGTCTTGGAAGGAAATACACCTCGTGTCACAGCTCCGGAAGCTGATGGACCGGCTTGGCCACATTTCTCATCCACAGGAGTTGCTGGGGAGGGAGTGGGAGAGAACTGTAGGAAGATTGAGCCCCCAGCCACAAGATGTGTCTGATTCTTTCTTTGCTGCCCAAAGACTCGACCCGATTTCTTCTACTTTCCCTAAATGGATATCTTTGTGGGTCCAGGCAGTTATAGCATAACCTAAGAAGAGTTACCATTATCGTATCTGATCCCACTCACATTTTCCTGGAGAACATTTGGACTATGGTAATATCCTGTTTTAGGACAATGAGTGGGAGAATAGAAGGGATGGGTGGTTGGTAAATCTCCCTTCCTTTTTTGAAACCCTGGTTTTAATAGTGCTGAATTTAATTGGCCCATGTAGGTGGGTTAGAGAGGACTGGGATAAGCTGTTTCCTCTGTATTTAATTCCTCTAAGTCACATGCCAGCCTACATAAATGGAGAGGGAAGAAAAGAATTGGCTGTTAAGTGCCTAATAAGGAGTGTGGACTCTGGAGTCACATTGCCTGGGTTCAAATCCCAGCCCTCCTATAGTGGCTATGTTAACTTCAAAGAAGTCACTTAATTTCTCTGAGCCTCATTTGCCCCATCAGTAAAAGACAGATATGGCAGTACTCATCTCACAGTGATGTTTTACAGATTAAATGTGTGGATATCGGTAAAGCACCTGGCACATAAAATGTCAGCAACACATTATTCAAATGGATCAAGCACTGCAAGCATTTCATGTCTACTCTCACCTAATTCTTACACCATTTCTGAGAGGCCCATTTCACTGATGAGGAAACTGAGCCTGAAGGTGAACTGCCTTGCCCAAGGTTGCATAGCTAGCAAGGAGGAGAGCTGAAATTCTGACCTACATCTGAGTCGTTCACAACATTGTACGGCCTCCTGAGAGGCCATCATCATAGAATAATGACACACTAGATCTAAAGAATGGGGAGACTGAGGCTGGATGCTCGCAAGTGGCCCAGGGTTTCTCTGTCATGTGGAGGCAAAGGTCCTAGAACCAAGGTCCTCTGACTTACACACCAGGAGTTAGGACTGGCAACCACATGGCCTATTCAGATTTACAGGGAGTCCAGAAAAGCAGAGTCTTATCTCTGTGCTTTCTCAGGACTGAGTCGAGAGAGGAGCAGTAAGTGGAGCTGGCTCCATGAGGGCTGTATTTCACTACAACACAGGATGCCCTGGGAGAGGAGGGCAGGGGTGGGAGGGAGCAACTGTGTCTCCAGGGTCTGCAGATGGCTACAGATCTGCAATAGTGGAGACTTCCTCCAATAGCTCGCCTGGACGCCCATCCCAGGAGCCCCACCACACCCTTCCAGTTATTTCAAAACAGTAACAAAACCCACAGAAGCTATGGATACATGCTTTCTTCTTTTCTTTATCTTCTTGCTTCTTATCTCCATATTTTTGTATCTTTCTCTTTTTCTCTCCTCTCCATGTGGCCTTCCCGGAAGAGCTGCCCCTCCCAGGTTCTTTCCCCTTCCTGGTCATGTATAAAATGATCCCTTGATCATTTCCACTTCTGCACAATTAAATGCTGCCCCGTGTGGTTTTTTTGACTGTTTCACTAAGCAAACTGTCTTCCCAACAAGTTAGGAGTTTTCTGAGAGCAAGGAATTTCTTTCCCTTCCCTTTTTTTAATTTCCACCGGAATATCTAATGGCGGTTGATGTACATGACGTGAACATAACAGATACTGAAAAGAATCAAATTCTTTAATGCTTTCCTTTTAGCTCTTCAACCAATCCTGTCTAACAAGGAGGAAAATGGGACTCCGAGAAGGGGAGTGCTTTGCTGAAGTTTTCCAGTTAGTTACTGGCAAACCTGGGGTTAAAATCAATCCCCTTGACTCTCAACCCAGTAGTCTTTTCAGTACTCCATGTTACCTGCAACTTTAAGTATCAACAAAAACAATCTATGTTTAGTAGATTTAGTAGATTGTCATACTACCAGATCTGCCTTTGAGATGGAAGGACTTAGAGATGGAAGAACTACCACCAACAAGAAGCGATCATCAAAACTATCTGTAGTGAATTATTAAAGAAAAAAAAACAGCATAATCTTCCTTCCATTCTGTAAGACCTCCCCCTCATATTCAACAAGACATATTTTGGGGGCGCCTGGTTGGCTCAGTCAGTTAAGCGTCCAACTCTTGATTTTGGCTCAGGTTGTGATCTCACAGTTCGTGAGTTTAGCCCCACACTCGGCACTGTCAGTGAAGAACCTGCTTGGGATTCTCTCTCTCCCTCTCTCTCTGCCTATCCCCGGTGCACACATGTGCTCTCTCTCTCTCAAAATAAATAAATAAACTAAAAAAAAAGACATATTTTTAAAAATGTGTATACCTGGTGTTCTGCCTTTAAACAGTTATCGAATTCTATGGAGTAACTCTTGTTTTGGTAGGAAAGCATTCATCAAAAGAAAAGTTACAATGCATTTCACAAATATGATATGGATTGATGACAATTACAAACTGTTTTAAAGTAGATAACGACTAACCTCAATTCAAACAAATAGAAACCAAAGAAAAGTGCCGTACAATTGTGATTTTTTTTTTAAGTGGGACTAATTTATATTTACAGAATTGGTAGTTGAGAAGCTAGGGGAAGGAAATTGCCAGACCTTGAAATTTGGAGCAAAAATTTATTAACTAACACTAGTATCATAAACTCACATAGTTTATATATCTCACAGATTAAAGACTCCAGAATCATTATGTTAACAAGAGCTTTCTTATACAGATAACATATGTATTTTGTGTTATGTGTTCTACGTAACTATTTAGGCATTGGAATGGAAAATACGTTTGCATTTAGGATAGTAAGTATTTACCTCTCCAAAAGTTGGTGAAATTCAGTCTGGATTATTTCTGTTACAGGATATTTAGTATTGTAGTTTTTCTTTTTCCTTTCAGTGTCAACATTTCTGAAACAAATGATCCAAGATTTGACTGATATGTCAGTATACATTGTCAATTACATTTCATCTTTAAATATGTGAAAAGATCATTAGGTTTTAATTTATCATAATTTGTCCTAAAATCATATGCCTTCTTAAAAAATGGGATTTCAAAAACTATTGCAATTAAAGGGCCACCTGGGTGGCTGAGTCAGTAAGCATCCAACTTTTGATCTTGGCTCAGGTCATAATGTCACAGTTGGTGAGATTGAGCCCTGCATCAAGCTAGGCACTGTCAGTGAGGAGCTTGCTTGGGATTCTCTCTCTCCCTCTCTCTCTCTCTGTCCCTCCCCCACCTCACACTTGCTCTTTCTCTCTCTCAGAATTAATAAACTTAAAAAAATCTATTGCAATTAAGTATGAAGCTTCATAAAAATTTATACTATGAGCAATTTATGTAAGAAAATGAATTTTCAGTATTTTAATCCTCTTCTAATAATGCTGAACATTCTGAGATGTGAATTTATCAATTTTAAATAAAATGTACAGAGTATATTCATTTGACTATGATGTTTTATTTCTATATTGTTCATACTTATATATTTATTCATATGTTATTTATGTTATCAATCCAAACCTAAAAATTTTTAAACTGGAAAGCGAATAATAATGATCATAGAAAAAAAATGCTTAATTGTTAATATATAACTATTCAAATTTTTAAGTTAGAAAACTATCTGGTATAGTTTTAGAATCTCTATATAATATTAAATGAAAGAAATATGGTCAAATATGGTTATTCATTCATTCACAAAAAATGGTAATCAAATATAATTAATAATAAATAAAAAGATAGATGACTGAATGAATAAATGAATGAATTCAATAAGCACTAACTTAGGGCCTATTGTGGGCCTTGTATCATGTGGTGAATAAAATGGCTTAATATTTGATTGACAAGAACACACTGTCCCATGACCCGACCATAGCAGAAAGCACATATATGGATGAAGAACACATTGTCCCTGTTCTCTGTCTCATGGGTAGAAACATAAGCAGATAACCACAACACAGAGTGGTAGGAGCTATGTTGGGGAGAAGCCCACGGTGATCAAAGCAATGGAGAATGTAGAGAAACAAGCTACAACTAATTAAGGGGTGGGAAGGGAAGTGTCAAGTTAGGGTCAACATCTAGAAATGAAATCCAAACTCATTCCCAGAAGACCTTTATAATTTTAAAGCAGATGGAAGGTGTTAGGGAGTGGCAGGGATTTAAGAGTGGGAATTGGAGAGAGTGTCGATAACAGACAGAGCTAGAAAAATAATACACAGGAACAAATCATAAAGACCCTTAAACACTGTATGAAGGTGCTTGAATGAGTCCAGGGATCATAACTTACTAACAATGTACTCATTAAAATTATCTAAAAATATAAAGTTTATAGGGGTGCCTGGGTGGCTCAGTCGGTTGAGCGACTGACTTTGGCTCAGGTCACGATCTTGCAGTTTGTGAGTTCGAGCCCCGCGTCGGGCTCTGTGCTGACAGCTTGGAGCCTGGAGCCTGCTTCGGATTCTGTGTCTCCTTCTCTCTCTGCCCCTCCCCCACTTGTGCTCTGTCTACCAAAAATACATAAAATATAAAAAAAATTAAAAATATAAAGTTTGTTACATAGCTTCACATTGAGCCTTTCTTCTTACAATTCCTTAAAAAAACACTATAAAATTTTCCTTGTTTAACTTACTATTCTGAGAGATGAAATTCACCTTGAAATCATAATGGTTTTAATTTATATGAGTTTGACAGCCACTATTCAAGATGAATTGACAAGATCTTGTTACTCATCAAGAATAATGATGGACTCAGTAATAAACAAATGATATTTGACCTTCCTTTGGCTTTGTAAATGAAGGAACTAGCAACAACAAATTCCTCTCAAAACTGTCTAGAATGATTTATTAAGTAACTAAAGGACAGCACGCTACTAGGATAGGATTTGGTTAAAAGGAATCTGTATTCATCATGCTAGCTTGATTTTGTGTGTAGACACTAAACAGCCCAACTATCTTTCCTTTCAAGTGAATGCAAGTAATGAACCCCTATATGTCACTAGCATTTATTTCTTCTGAAAGAAAAAATATTTAGCTTGGATATATTAAAAGTAGCACAGCAGGACTTCTACTTTGCACAACTCTGGGTTGCCATTTATATAGAATACAATGTGAAAAGTGCCCTCTGGAGCTGGGCAATGCATCTGCCCCTTAAGGTTAGCCCAAACTATTTCCATTTGAACCTTTTGTTAACCAGTACTTACATACAGCTCTGAGGGCAAACAAGGCTATTGAGGATCCTGTAGAAAACTTTCTGAGTCGACCAAGAAAAATTAATGTGTGTTTAGCAGAGTGTTAGTGTCAAGTGTATGCCAGTGTATTTTAATTATTTGGGAATAATTAATTTATGCAGTGAACAGAGTGAATACTTGATTAATTAGGGCACGCTGTTCCATGAATATAACAGAGGGCTTCATATACTTTCACTGGAATAGTCCACATTAACAAATCTCTCAAATTATGTTTGGATTACCTGATTGAACTACGCATTTTAAAACATTAATGTGAAAAGATAAAATCTGTATATAGTTTTGAGCCACACTGAAGGATATAGTGTAGAAAGATAAATGCAGGAAGGGACAAAAATTATTTGTTAACTTTGGATGTTTAAAAAAAGTCATATACTACTTTAAGGGCATTACCCTCACATTTTACATCTAGCTGAATGAGCTAATTATGAAGTGTATGCGTCAAAGATTTCAATTTCAGGCTTGACTTTACTTTGAAGATTAATTTTTTACTTTATCATCTTTACAGGCAGTTCAGTGGACAGCCGAACTGAATGTTACTCATTGTTCAGCGGTGTATGAAGTATATTTAATCAATGTGAAGGAAGTAATATTAAATGATTATCAGCAGCCTCAAATATTCTAAACATCTCAAAAGAAAGGTCAAGAGGTAAAATCACTGCTAATAATATGAGAAACAATGTATTTAACTCATTCTTTACATAGCAGCTTTGCACTGGTCTGAGATTTCTTTTGTCATAAAACATAATGAAAATACAGCAGCTGATTTTTCTGCAATGTTGGAGAAATATTGGCTGTATGAGATTTTATTCCAATCTTTTAACGTAAGCTAAATCGCAGATCAATGTTTTTCTAGGATGATAAGCTTTTAAAATGGCATTCTAAGGCAGAGATATAAATTATATGAAGCTATATTTTGAGAACTATATTTGTATGTTAAATATGCCAGAAATCTTAATGTAAATAATAATGTACAATAATAATTTAAAAAGGAATTACACAATTCTGTTTAAGAAGCCATTTATGAACTCAGTTATTTTGAGATATATTAATAAAACAAAAGTGCTAATTCAAAATAGACATTGATTCTACAACTTTTTTTGATCAGAATTACTCATTTCTGATTCTTTTCTCCTGTGCTTAGCCTAAATCAGTAGGGTTAAATTCCCAACAAATTTTAACTAATTCTTAGTCTCTATTTTCATCTCCAAATATCAACATGAGAACCCTTTTTAAAAATAAACATGGGGCGCCTGTATGGCTCAGTTGGTTGAGCATCTGACTTCAGCTCAAGTCATGATCTCACAGTTCATGAGTTCAAGCCCCTCATGGGCTCTTTGTTGTCCAGCGCAGGGCCAGCCTCAGATCCTCTGTTCCCTTCTCTCTCTGCCCCTCCCCCACTCATTCTCTCTCTCTTTCTCTCTCTCTCACACACACAAATAAATATTTTTTAAAACTGCTTTAAAAATTAATGTCTGTAAAAGTTAAATCTTTATTTATAAATGTATACGAAATAATAAAAAGATACGACCCAGATTGCTTTTTATAAATAAACAAACAAGCAAACACAGAATTCTCCCAGAAAAGCATACACAATGAAGACAAAAATTTGTAGAAATTAGAAACAAGAAGTATGAATAAGTTGTTCTTACAGAATTTTCCGTCCAGGTGAGACATCTGGACTGATTAGAACAATGGCTCTGTTTTTATTCTTGTCTCCATTCCGCAAAACTCTCAGCCTCACAGGGACAGGTGGCCCTGGGGTCTTACAGATGGATTTCTTCATGGGAGGACTGTTTGGAATCAGCAATCCTTCTATTGGCCAATCAAACTCCTTCAGAAAAAAATGACAAAGAATGTGATAATAAGTAAGAAGAGTCATTTCTAGATATAAAAAAAATTTAGGGGCGCCTGGGTGGCGCAGTCGGTTAGGCGTCCGACTTCAGACAGGTCACGATCTCGTGGTCGGTGAGTTCGAGCCCCGCGTCGGGCTCTGGGCTGATGGCTCAGAGCCTGGAACCTGTTTCCGATTTTGTGTCTCCCTCTCTCTCTGCCCCTCCCCCGTTCATGCTCTGTCTCTCTCTGTTCCAAAAATAAATAAAAAACGTTGAAAAAAAATTAAAAAAAAAATTTAAACACACAACTTATACCTTTAATTTTTTTGTTCATTCATCAGAAAATGTATTGGCCACCTAAGATGTTTCAGACAATTCCAAGCGATGTTTTAATTAATTAAAGAGGAAACATTTTAAGATGAGCAGTTTAAAAATGTGCGTACAACCTGTGTTGTGTCACAGCATAGAGGACTTAGTTCTTCTCGGAGAAACATCATTCTAAAAAGATAAAACTGAATTAACTGGATGCTTTTTGCTTGTGTGTGAAGTATCTTTAATCGATGTGAAGAATGTGCGAAGAGTGGTTTTACAATAGTCTGAGATAGTATCCTCTTAAGCTAGATCTATTTGGCAAAAAGAACATATTTGAGGAGCTCTCCAAAAACCAGAATGAAAGCACAAAAGAACTTAGACAAATTTCAGATGTTTCAGTTGCCAAACTCACTTACGTTGTATCGTTCATTCATTTATTTATTTATTAATTCATGCATTTTCTAAATATTGATTGATGGTTTACTATATTCCATGCACAGTAGGAGGCACTGGAAATAAAACTGCACAAGACAGAATACTCTTCCTCAAGGAATTTCCAGCATGGCCTCAAAAACTTACCTAGAAATAAACTGGCAATTACAATAGTGTGTGTACAACCGCAACAGAGAACTGGGTGTGATGGGACCACACAGGAGGAGAACCTACCTTAAAAATGCAGTGTAGCAGATCTGAAGCTTCAGTTGGAGTTAGTGCAGTAAAGGATGGGTAAAAAGACAGGGCATAGTGTAGGTAAGAGACTTAAGGATTAACAGAACATGCTATTTGGGTGGTAAAAAGAGGCAAGGATTGCTCCCAGGTTTGTAGTTTGAGCAACTGGGTGGATGGTATGGCTAGTCACAAAAATAAACTTTTGTGGAAGAAGAGTAAATAAGGGGACAGATGATCAGAGATGATGTTGTTAGGCAAGGTCTAAATTCTTTCATTTTTTTCCCTATCTGCATAAATAATTGTCCTGGCAGCAATTAATCCCCCATTAATCTGCAATGACCATCCTGTAAAATACCTCAATTCCATTTAAGTGTGCATCTGTTTCTATGTGTTCTATTCTCTTCAATTGTTGATTTCCCTATCCTTATACAGGACTCTACTGCCTTGATTACAACAGCTTTATATTTGATAAGTTTTGATACTTGACAGGGCAACTACCCTCACCTTGTTATTATTCTTTGGAAATTGGCTTCTATTGGCCCTTTAATATTTCATATGTATTTATGAATCAGCTTGCTTAGTTTTCTAAAAGTCTGTGTGGGATATTAATGCTCTGCATAACTTCCTATCAATCCCATCTTGGTAAGATTTTTTTTGTGAATGTCCATTGAGTCATACAAAAATCTTTTTATCTGCATTTGTTGAGATGTGTTTGTATGATTATTTATCCTTTCATCGGCTCTGTGTTAATTACATTAATTAATTTAAAATTTTTTTCTTTAATATTTAATTTTTGAGAGAGAAAGAGAGCATGAGTGGGGGAAGGGAAGAGAGAGACACAGAGCAGGCCCCACGCTCACATGCTGTCAGCACAGAGCCTGACGCAGGGCTTGAACTCACAAACTGGGAGATCATGACCTGAACTGAAGTCAGAGGCTTAACTGACTGAGCCACCCAGCCATCCCTAATTTTTTTGAAATTTTAAACTAATATTGCATTCATGGATCAATCTAAATTGGTCACAGTGTCTTACCTTTTTTACAGATTGCTAAATTCAATTTGCTAGTATTTACGTTAGGATTTTTGCATGTATGTTCATAAATGAAATTAATGTGTAGTTTTCTTATACTAACTTTGTCGAGTTTTGGTATTAAGTTTATCCCAACCTCATGAAATGAGTTAGACAGTGTTGCTTCTTTTTTTTTTTTTTTAATTTTTTTTTTTCAACGTTTTATTTATTTTTGGGACAGAGAGAGACAGAGCATGAACGGGGGAGGGGCAGAGAGAGAGGGAGACACAGAATCGGAAACAGGCTCCAGGCTCTGAGCCATCAGCCCAGAGCCTGACGAGGGGCTCGAACTCACGGAGCGCGAGATCGTGACCTGGCTGAAGTCGGATGCTTAACCGACTGCGCCACCCAGGCGCCCCCAGTGTTGCTTCTTTTTTATCTGCCAATAAATCTATTTGGTATTGGTGTTCTCTTGGTGGGGAGATTTTAACTATTGATTCTATTTCTTCCACAATTATTGGATTATTCAGGCTTTTTGTTTCTTCTTGACTCCATTCTAAGTTACTTCTGTGCAGGACGTTGACCATTCTGTTTATCTAAGTTATAATATTTATTAGCATAAAGTTACTTATGCTATCCTCTTATTATCTCCTTAATCTCTCAGTATCTGTATTTACATCTTTCCTTTATTTCTAATATTATGTACCTTTACTATTTTTTCTTAATCAGTTTGGCCAGGGATATCAAAGCCACAAATTTTTGACTTTGTTGATTTGTTTTGTATGTATCGTATCAATTTCTGCTCTTATAACTTTCTATGTCTTTCCTTCTAATTCTTTGAGTTTGTTTTGCTATTATATTCCTGACTTTTCAAATTGGAAGCTTATCTCATTAATTTTTAGCCTCTCTTCTTTTTCAATTTAAGTATTTAAGGTTGTACATTTCCTTCAAGTACACTTCAGCTACATCTCACACATTTTGTTTTGGTTCTTAAATACAGTATTTCTTTTTTAATTTTTCATCATGATTTCTTCTTTATCCCATGAGTTAATTAAAATGTCTATCTAAATTTCCCAATATTGGGCCTTTTCTAATTATTTATTTATTTATTTTTAACTTAACCCATCAGCAAAACTTGCTTCTACTTTCTTTTTTTTTTTTTTTTTTTTTTTTTTTTTTTTTTTTTTCAACGTTTATTTATTTTTGGGACAGAGAGAGACAGAGCATGAACGGGGGAGGGGCAGAGAGAGAGGGAGACACAGAATCGGAAACAGGCTCCAGGCTCTGAGCCATCAGCCCAGAGCCTGACGCGGGGCTCGAACTCCCGGACTGCGAGATCGTGACCTGGCTGAAGTCGGACGCTTAACCGACTGCGCCACCCAGGCGCCCCGTACTTTCAAAATATATCTAGGACTGTTCTACTCTTAAACACCTCCACTCCCACAGTGCTGGTCCACTAGTTTCTCTTATCTACAAATTGCAAAACTCTTCTGCTTATTCTTGCTTCCATCTTATCCCCCTTTTGTTCCATTATTATAATGATCCTGTTATACTTAAGTCAGAGCACATCACCCCTCTAACTCCTCTGTTCCACACCCTCCCATCTCAGTAAGAGTCAAAGATTTTCAAATGGCTTACGAGGCTCTGCATGATCTCTACCCCATCTGACCTTATCTCCCACTGCTCTCCCCCTCACAAATACTGCTGCCATATTTACCTCATTGTTCCTGAAAGACACCATTGCAGGCTCTTTGCATTTCTTGGCATGTTCTTGCCCTAGGGAGCTGTTTGTTCGTCAGGTCTTTACTCAAATATTACCTCAATAAAGGCTTCTCAAGGCAATCAGAAATTTCCAAACCCTGTCCTGCCTCACCTCCCCCCCCCCCCCCCCCCACCAACATTCTCTATCCCCTATTCTTGCTTCTATTTTCTTCTTAGTTCTTATCACTAACATTCAGAAGAGCATCTCATGAAGTGGCTAAGAGCTTGGGCTCTGGAGTCAGACTTCCTGAATTTGAATTTTTGAGCCATCATTCTCGCTGTGTGAACTTGGGGCAAACCTTTGACCCAAATGAGATGGAAGTTAATGGATCAATTCTTTCCTTTTTCTCCTGCAGGAGAGACTCTCCTAAAATCACTGTTTAAATGGCTTATTGAAAGACAGCTTGAAAGCACATCACTTATTGGCTCTCCTTCCTTCCCTGCTTGTCCCTGGGATCGCACATCCTAACGAGATAGTAGCATATAAGCCATTTGCCTCAGATTCTGCTTTCTGAGGAACCCAAGCAATGAGACCATAATCCGCATGAACTATTAATGGAAGAAGTTTCCTAAAGGGGATATGGGTACCAATACCCAAAGGATGGAGAAGTCATGATAGGCAGGCAGAAAGCTCAAACAATCACTACAGATGTGGCCTTAGAATCCTAGCAGTGTCTAAGATCCAGGTGTGCTGGGGAGACATGCTGGCATGTGAGAATAATACAGACCAAAATGCATGGCCTTTAGTTTATGGAAAAGAGACCAGTTTTTAAAAGCTAGTATAATAAGGAAAATTTACTAATTTATATTCTCTTGAAAAATATTTAGAATCTTGCAAATATATTGAACAAACACATAGTTCAAAAATGTGCTTTAAATGTTATGAACAAAATCTGAAGGTTGTGAAAATTAAATATTCTGAAACAGTATCTTATTATAATGCTCTAATTTGCGAAATGAGTGAATAAATAAAATGAATTGCATTTAATTAGGATAAACACAGTGTAAATAAATGTTCAAAGTCTCATGAGTAGAGTGCTTTTCAGTTTAGTCTTTTTTCCATTATATTGTAATATAATATTTTGTTTAGTAAATATGTTTATAATGATGGCATACAATGAGGCTAACTCATCACCCCTCTAAACAAACAAACTTTGAATTAATAAAGTTTTTCTGTATTCCTGACCTTCATTGAGGGCATTTTATCTCCATGGAATTTAAAAGCAAAGGACAGACTATAAGGTGTAT